TTTGGAAATATGCTTATTAGCTTTCTTGCCTGGAGTTAGATGAGAATATCGATGCAACTCTTATGTCTTTATCGCAAATGTGAATCTACAGCCTGTTAGGTTAGCTTAGTACAAAGACTGGAAAATGGGAAACCGCTAGCCTTGCTTACCATACAGGCTGAACTGTTCCTATAAAGAGTGTACCAAAAAATTACCTTCAGCATAACGTGATATTGACCTACACTGTCTCTATGCCACCAAGATAATGTGCACTACAACTTCCATTAACTAGTAAGGAAATATTGATAGAGACATACCTGCCTTAATGAGGGATGGAGCTGAAATTGGTGACTGTACCCAGTGGATGGACTTACTACTCTGTCACTGCAATATGAATCACATGAGGAAACTGCACAGCATTAACTTGGCTTAATCTGCTCTAATTAGCAGTCTATCTGTCTGTCTGTGGGGAGCTGTTTGGGACTTTCAGTGACATGCTAATTATTTTCAGACTATGCAGCGGCTAGCTTTGTCAATCATGATTATGGCACTTAATGCTCTGCCACAACCCACAGTAAAAATCTTAACAAGCATTCATTTTGTTATACTGATACAGGAGGAGATGACTATTGATACAATAAAAAAGACATTCACTGACTGCTTCTGGCTCTGTTTTTGCTTATGACAAACATGGCCTTGATTCCACTATAGTACATAGTACAAACAGTAGTTTGGACACTTTAGAAACTTTAGACTTTAACAGTGAGTTTTTTAAGAATGGTATGACCCATGCAATCAGCTGTAGTCTTTTGGCAAAACAAAATTGATGATGGGGGTGAAAGAAAATTGGAAAATTGATTGAAACAAGAAATATAAAAAAACAGCTTCAGATATTAATGATTGCAAAGGGTTACAGAATGTCAGAACAAGTGGATGTGTGATAGCAGGGAAAGGTGCATTGCTGCCAGCTGTGAACAAGCATATAGGTTATCTGCTTCAATGAACCCATGTTTCTGCAACACAGGCCCAAAGTTAGCCTGGGGGGCTGCTGATTCGAACTAATTCTCAGCAACTGCTGTAGTTTGCACCCACAGAACTTAGCAAGATCTGATGGGTCAAAGCTGGCTGTGGTTTGACTTAAATGACTAATACATGGTGCTGATGTAAAGACATTGGAAACTTGTTGGGAGAGACCATGTCACTTGTATCTTGAGGCACAGATTGATAATAAGTACAGTATGTTCTGCTTTGTGAACATTTTGTGTTGTGCGTCTTGCAGGATTTGGGCAACAGCCTTTGTTTATTTATTGTAAATGATGAATTACACTAAGTCTGTAATTTATCTTCGTGTAGTCAGTGTATGCCTGACCATTCACAAACTGTATACACAAGACCATTACATCACACAGTGCACACTCAATCTTCTCCTCAGTGTGCACTTTAGTGGGAGGTGGTGACATGGTACTAATGTAGATTTTTCTTCAGTTTGTTCTAGTTGTTTTTTTTTGTCCTCATCAAAAACACACATACATTTCTTATCCATTTCTGCTACTGCTAATTTTTTTTGGACCGATGTGTAAAGACAGCCTAATTGATGTTCTCTACCAGTATGTATAGGAGCCATTACATATCGCATGGGGAGGGAGGTTCTAAACACTCCTTGGGTCACATCACCTCCAGTGATGTCAGAGGAAATGCCAGAGAGATGAAGTAAAGAGCTGCTTCATACGGTCCTGCAGATTCCTGGACAGGCGGCCACTGTGATAGTGGAGGCTCCAGTGTGCTACAGACGGGAGAAGAAAGGAAAAAAGCATTGGCTGATAATGATTGTGGAGACGCAGCTCAGTGTGTGTAATGTGTGTGGCCTTGTTGTGAAAGGTGTTTCTCCTGAATGTTCTTTTAATTATATACTCAATATGATATGGGTATTTAATATGAGGCATGTGCTCTTTGTTGTGGAAATCTTGCCTCGCTGATGGGCGCAGACATGCAGACAAGGGCTTTGTTGGTACATTAAATATTTGAACTGATTGAGGTTTCCTCACTCATGATGAATCAGGGATGGAGTGGGAATAGTGTTTTTGCTGGGACGTGCTCAGATTCCACAGCAATGGGACACACAGACAACATGACACATGACTCCAGCAAACATCAAAAGCACAAGTTCTCTGTCAACCATCTGGATTGTTTACTTCCTCAAAACCTGACTCAACCTTTTATTTGCCACCCAACATATCCACAAACCTAACTAAATGAAAAGCAGAGAGTGCCTTGGCGATGCTTTTGCTTTGCACGAACAAAAAATGAGAGGGATTAACTGTTACCTATACTTAATATTCTGCACGCTACTGCTTTCAGAGCTTTTAAGAAACCACTAATAAATTTGTGAACCCAGTTACTTGGAAGGACGCTATGTTCTGCCTGGTTAACTGAAGCAGAAAGATGAGCAGAATGCCTGCAGTGAAGAGGAAACATGGAGGAGGAAAGTTTGATTATTCTGTGGGATTCCACTGTCCTACTTCTGGAAAGTGAATACATCGGAAAAGTGCCACTGGGTCAGAAGGCCATTTAAAGAAACAGTCATCCAAACAAACAGCTGTAAATACTAATACATAGTGGCACATTGCATATTCGCTCAGTATAGGGACCTAGCTGTACACCTAGCTAAAACTAACGTAGTCAAATACAACAGTCCTGCAATAAATCCTCCCTTAAGGTTATGATGTTTAATCTGTTGTAGAGGCGTTCATTCAACTGTATGGCCATTTTGGAAGATGTAGTTTAAATGGGATGGACAGAATAATAGAAAGACCTGTCAGTATAAAACTTCTGTGTAAGTATTTGTGCGTAAATTACTGCGTGAGTAGTTGTAAGGAAAGAACATTTCACTTATATATGTGTATTGTGTATGTGTATTCACGTGTGCGCACGCAGGAGTTCGTTGTGTTATCTGGGAAGTGCACGGCAGTCTACCTGGATGATCTCATGGTTCGGCCCTCCACAAATGAGGAGAAGCAGAAGCATTATCTTGGCCAAAAAGCACAGTGAGCAGGCTGAGGTCATAGTGAGATAGGGCCTGTGGAAACACTGATGCTCTCGCTAACATGACTGGCCTTGGAAACTACTCCCACAGGACCCCCAAAAACAGGACAGTAAAATCACACTGGGCGGTCAGACAGGAGAGCAGACCAGCTGAAGTTCAGCCAGAAAAAGACCTGGTCTTTCCTCAGGTCTCCAGTTCAGTAGAGAGGACATGCAGGTGAAATGTGGAGTCCTCCTCCATTTCATAATATATGCTAATGTTATCTGGGTGGCAGCCATCTTTTTCCTTCATTCCTATAGATATATAAAACAAATGACCCAGGACATTAGGACAGGAAGAGGCTTTTTTAGAGTTTGTGTTAGTCCTTCAGCGTACCTATTTTCCGCAGCCGCTGCCTTGTAAAAGTTTTAACATACTTCCTCCAAAATGACATCATTTCATGGCTCATTAAGATGATGTCATCGCAACCTGTTGGAGAGAAAAGGTTTCGTTTCATTGCACTCAATCTCAAGAATCTGAGTACTGCAAAATGCTGTGCCTTACAGAAATCCAGTGAAAATCCTCAAACTGATTTTCATCATCTTGTTTACAGATGTCTGATTAGAACTGGACCATATCATAATATTCCTGAAGATAGGAAATGCTGATAGTTTGGCCCATTTGGTGGTGGGGCTCACTGTACGTCATCAGCAGATGTTTTACGTGTATTTGTGTTTGTGTCTTTGTGTTTGTTCCAGACGGAGTTAATGAAAGGAGCTCTGAAGGATTTGAATCTGAACATTGTGGAAATGGCCGACGAGAACGCCACATTGGATGGAGGAGATGTGCTTTTTACAGGTAAGCTATGTTCCCTTAATCAGTATACTTTGTTGAACACCCTAAACGCCTACAGTGTTATACCAGTACAGCCTGAGGCCGTCCACATGTGGAAGATTTACAAAAACAATGTAGCTGCTACTCTCCCTGAAGGGCTACTGTTGTTACTCTGGGGTTTCCATAAATTCATGCATCCATCACATAGTTGCATTAAATAGCTGTATACGCTCTAAAAGCCATTCAGTAGATTCAATCCAAGATTCCAATATATCAAAAAAGTTTTACTGGGGTGAGGGAAAGACCAACATCCATCATAAAATGCAGCTTCTCTAACATTTTACATCCAAGGGTACTTCCGTTTTGCTTTTTGCGTTAAATGTATAAACTGTAAGGTTTGTCCTATGAGTTGAACTAGGGAGAGGGGCTTCACAATGCTTCTCGCGCATTTAACAGGAAACAAAATTACCTATTAAAGTAAAAGTAAAAGTTAAGTTAAAGTGTCAATGCTTTTAGTTTGATTTCCAGCATTTTAAGCCAATCACCACACAGATAAGATTTTGGTTGTACAATAAATATCTGGTTCTCCTGAGCAGCTTCACAAAACATTTACAGGAGCATCTATCTATCTATCTATAATCATTTAACAGGATGTGTGTATTATTTCTTACATAATACTGTAATCCATTACCTTCATATAAGAACTACAGTATGTGTGCTTGTTGAATTTACATACAAAAAAGAGGATGTCATTGTAAACAGAAAACATTAGTAGGAGCCTCTGCAGCCCCAGTTCATAGAGATTTCTTATGTGTCCGTGTTTTAGGATCCTCCACACAAACATTCCTCTGTGCGACCTCATTGACCTGGTGCCTCAGCGCACTGTAGCAAAAACATTGTGTAGCATACTGCGTGGTCAAATCGTCGCCACATGACTCCTATTCTTTTGGCATCAGGTAATAAAACTGATTAAGGCAGAGAGTCAAGAGCATGGTGGTCTTTATTAGATCTTCTGTACATTCTGTTACAATCTTGTGGTGAGTTAAAATGTGGGTCAGTTTCTTATACACTGCGCAGGCCACTAGGAAAAAGCATAGTACACTTAATTGGGTTTCTAGACACTGGCTTTGTGCTCTCGTTCCTTCCAGTTGAAATCGGTTTCACATGGCAGGGCTAGAAACATTTCCTGTTGGCAGGGCCCTGGCTAACGGCTCATTTTGTAAAGGCTCAGCAGCTACATTAGGAGCCCATCCCTGAGCTCAGTGTGCTGCTGCAGCCTCGCCAGGCATTCAGGGATCTGTCTGTTTGTGCCCCACCATACTGACCACAGTTGGCCTTTCTCACAGGCATGCATAAAGTACACACTGTGGTGACTGCAGTGTTCAGCTGCTGTAGCTCCACAGACACGCTGTGTTTCTGGTGTTCAAGGTTTTTAGACTTTATTACTATTGACTTTACAGATTTTAGAACTTTTTAGATGTCATGTGTATGTTGGATGACTGGATATCTGCTCTGCTGTCCAACTTCCCAATTCATCATTGGTATTTTTCTATGCTTTTGTATGGCCCTCCTGGCATAAATAAAGTTTTATTGTATTAAATTGACTTGGCATTTGTTTACACACATTCAGTGTCATCTGATTCTTTCTCCAGGTCGAGAGTTTTTTGTGGGGCTTTCCAAACGGACCAATCAGAGAGGAGCAGAGATCCTAGCAGATGCATTTAAGGTGAGTTTAAAACAGTGCAGTGGTGTAAAAAGGTGTCCAAATCTTTATTAATACTTAAGATATATTGCTTCAATATGACTGTAATAAAGTGTAAGCATCCCATTACATAACATAGATGCATAAGTCCTTAAGTTAAGTATCTGAATTTAAATGTACTTGCACGTTGGGGCAGCACAACAAGCCGTAAACACAACACAAAATACTCATCCACTCATCCAGCAGACATGGAGCAATATTAGCATTTATTTGGAGTCATTTTTATGGCCACCTGGCAAATGTAGGTCCAACATTCACTCTCTTTTTATCTTTTAATTTCTATTTTTGTTTCCACCCAGTTTTGAGGGAAATATCTGGCTCTTCAGCTACTAAGTGCTCTACTGTGTTTACCACTTAGTTGCTAACTTTGACTATCTGCTGTTATTCGCAAGACATGCTGCGTACAGTATATTTTTAGAGCTTTTTTGATGAAAATTCTGTCTTCTGCAGCTGAGAACGACACTGATGAGACTGGTGACAGAGAACCAAAACAGTAGAATTGCAGCCCCTAAAACCAAAACAATGAGCTGAAAAACGCTGTGAAGCTCCATAAACCTGCGAGGAACTGCAGAGTGGAGTTGTATTAATCATATTAAAACCTAAAGGCCCAGAGGGTAACGTTTAGGATGATATGTTTTCATTAGTGTATAATCACATTAAAATAAGAATTATGTTTTTCTTACCTTAGAATGAGCCTTTTTTATCTACAGATGCCGCAGGTCCCCTTTTATGTAAGCCACCATGTTGAACCTCAGTGTTTTTACAGTAACCCAGAAAGGACAAACCAAATACTGACTCTACATAGGACCATGAGCGGTATTCATGTGTGTCATGGCAAATGTAGTATCACCGTTGTACTTAGAACGGGAGGGTGAAGTGACTGAGTTGCAGTCTGCGACTAAACTGCTAGATGCCACTAAATCCCACACACCGCTCCTTTTAAAGCAGCCGGTTTCAAGACAAAATACAGTTGGGTCTTCAAAGGATGTATGCTAACTTTGTTAATCATTATGAAAATACAGAAATGAACTCTCTGAAAGAACTCTCTTCTTTAGTCTCTTAAATGGTCCCTAAACACAAACCCTGCAGTAAGCGATCAGACATTGCAAACAAGAAAGGAAGAGATAAATATGTTATCAATCATAAAAGCTTTAGGCCCGGAAGATAACAGCATCATCACTCCATTTATCTTGCTTTTTGCCGTTCTGTTCTACCCCCCCTTCTCTCTAATTCCATTTCTCCCTCCATCCATCTCTGCCTTACGCCACCCCCTCCTTTCTAGCCATTATATATATCCTACATCCATCCACCTCTTCTTCCTTCCCTGCATTCACTTTGGTGTGGGTGTCAGACTCTTTGTCCGTGTCAAGGCCACGCTGTCTTTGTGGACTCGCACAGTACATATAAACATGAACTGTTGCCTGGAGATGTGGGAACCCTTCAACACATCCTATTTGCTGTAGGGAAATTAATGACAAAAAAAAATACAAAGTACCCTAAAGTGTTTGTAAGCTAGCAAGGTAGAAAAATGCTGTTTATTTGAGATTGCAAAGGCCACTTTGGATATTGGCCTGAACATTCAAAACATTGTATATATGTATAGTAACTCTGTTGTACATTTTGTAGGGAACAACAAAAAATTAAAGTTAAGTTAAAGTATAATTTGTTTAATAACATAAAAGTGAAGGTAACCCAAAAACATAAATAGCTGTGCAGAGTAGAATTTAAAAATAAATTTCTACTTCGTTATTTAGCACCATTGCAGTGGAGCACTCTAAGATTATTGATTGGTGGATGCAGCTGTAAGCAGTCCCAATGGCAATGAGTCATTAGTGCCCGGGTCCAGGCCTCAGCTGGCTTTGAGGCATTTTTAATCAGCTATTGATGCAAACGTCTGCCACCTCTGTACACAGTGATTAAACAAGCAGTTGATGACACTGATTAAAAGGGTGATTTGGGAGGGGAAACCCCTCTCTCATGAATTATTTTACATGCTGTTATTAATTCATTAAATTAACATGTCTGTAAATCACTGCTGTGCTTACCGATGGTTGATGTTGACCAGTTATGGGAAAGAAGAAAAAAGATTTTATTTCACAGTTCTTATCCATCGTTGATGAGTCATATTAAAACCACTAAGTCTATTTAGAGTTTGAGTGAACGACGTGCAACACATCAACATCGTAATTATCATTATAATAATAATCAGTCATATTAAAAATGGCATTTAAAGCTCATTCTTCCATGCTTTACCCCATAAGTAAATGCTTTTCCTTTGAATGATACATGACCCCCATGTAAATCTTTTTAAAATATAATTTACAACTTGACAACTGCTGTAACTCCTGTCTTTTGTCACTTTGAATGAGACAAATGTAACACAATTACTAACTCAGATTAACTCATAGCACTGATCACAGATCCTACTAATTAAAGTATTGCCTGTGTAGCCAGAGCCTGATGAGCTTAGGGGTGCCAAAAACATCCATTGTTGTCCAGAAATTAAATTCAGTGACCCACATAGGGTTCTTTCATTACAACTAACGACACTGTAGTTGAGTTGATATACAATGTTCTGCTACTAAAATATTCATCACCAGTCTCATCCTTAAAGTAAAAGGCAACACTAAGTGTATAAGCCCGATTTATGTCTCTTTTCAAACCTGGTTGAAGTCAATGATTTTGTATTTTAAACGGTCTGACCGTATTTTCCTTTCTGACTACATTCTGACTAATTTCAGTGCAGTGTGGCCTGACCTTGATTGCCACAACTGAGCTCAACAATCACCACCCGAATATGACACACACATCCGAAAAAAAATGTCCCAAACATCACTGAAACAACAGATTCAGGCAAACTAGGAGGATTTAGACATGCAGCCTACAAACAGAGTCACGGGGTGGCTCACAAAGACATACTGATTCTATCTATCTTGTTTACTGTTATTGTAATGTGAAGGAGGTTTATACTGCAGACTTATGAGTACTGCTTTTGGATTTGCTCTGGGAGACCATATCAAAAGAGAAAAGCCAGCTGACTCACAAGTTCAGAGGTGGGTCATGGCGTGAAGAGTTCAACACATTACGGTAACCTGAATGGCCTTATTGCTTCCTTCTTCCCATCTGTATCTGATTTGAATTCCTCATTATGGATTCCTCTGTGTGTTCTGCTATCTTTGATAAGACAGAACTTAATGATGCGTCTCTGGCAAATGACACTAGGAAAAATCACTCCATTATTGTTTTTTCCGTTTGTTATCAGATTGATTCCTCCTATCGCTGTTGTTTTTTCCTTTCATTATCAAATTAAGGATCATTTTGTTGCCAGGTTTGTTTAGCACTCAACAACTGTGTACAGATGTCAAAGCTTTTCTTCACGGTCCTTGCAGAGATCAGAAAAGATGGCGCTGTTGATTGAAGTATGTTTGGGAAGGACCAATATGAAGGCCAAACTACTTATTTTCTTCTGCAGCTGAGGTGTTGAATCCTAACCTGTACCAATAAGACACAAACATGGACTCTGCTAAGGGTCTGAACAGTGAAGCTCATTCTGCCTTGCTGCTTGGTTACTCAATAGGGTCTTTTCAGATCACATTATGGCAGTATATCAGCCTGTTACAGCAGATGAAAAGCAACTCTGTCTCTCCCTATAATTCCCTTATGGATTAATCTTGATATGGACAAAAGTATGACTTGTATTTCTAATTTTAAACTGCAACAAAACTTCCTGTTCATGGATAAGGAATGAAGAAAGTTCAGATTACATAATTCCCAGTTGCCCTTTTGTATCTTCTAAACAAGTGCCAAGGAAAGAGTTCAGGAAGACATCAAGGATGTGGTAATTTAAGTTTTTTCGCATGATGAACTGCCAAGTGCTATTCTGTTATTCAGCCACAATAACTATTTCAGTGAATCATAGTGCTTTAATTGGGCTAATGATGCAGTACAAATATTGACCTGAAAAGTGTTAACATATACTTGAATGGAAAATGTCACAATGGAGTGTAAAGATGGAAAATGTACACAATACTTCATAGGGTTTTATGAAGCTAGAGCTATAAAAACCCATTCAAAACATATTATGTGATTAAGAAAACACGTGGATGTCAGTTGGAAGTTATTTTCTTAGGTGCAAACCAAAATTTATACACTCATATAAATGTATTCACATAGATTCAGGAAGGAAAAGCCTTGGAAAATAATGTTAAAGTCTCGTATCCTATCATTATTCAAATCGCAGCTTAATATCACTCCAAGGTTTACAAATGCCTGTAGGACTCAACCCTGGCTTTTGCAATCCTCAAAAGGCTTATAGTATGTCTCACTGTCACAAACTGTGAGTCAATGTATCAAATGCTCAATCAATCAACTTGAAAGTGGGAAATTCCTCCAGTCCAGTAAATCAAAATCAAAACAAAGTCTGTGGTAAAAGGATGTTGTTTCAGCAGGATATGCTATGCTATAATTCTTCAAATATGGACCCCATGCTTTAATTCTTGCAAAGGTTTCAACTGGCATTTTAATGAACAAATAAAACACTATAGGCCCCTCTACAGTACTCTAGAAATTATCCTATGCTTCACTAATATGTGTCATATATCAGTCAATATGGATGCAATTGCTGGCTGAATGCTGCTTTTATCCTCAGTCTGAAAAGAGATTTAAGGGCATTAAAAACTAATATTTTCTTAATCAGCGATGGGGTCCTATATAAACACTACATTTTCTGCCATAGTTTGAACAGTTTTGGACATTTCACATGAGACATTTTTATATATGTTTTTGTCATGGGCAGGGCTCAGTGGAAAGATATGATGTAATGTATTCCCATGCACCAATCAGTGTTGAGCATTTCAAACAAGTGTTATAGTGTTGTTTGTTCTTGTTGCCAAGCTATTGTCAGTTGAATGTGTTCAAACCACACCCAGAGAGTCCTGATGAAGCAGATTAGCTGAGATTTTGACCGTTACACTCTAAATAAATAAGGAAGGAAGTTATTTTCAGTGTTTAACTTCACTTGTAGTGAATATTTAATATTTTAGAGAACTACTTTCAACAAAGTTTTTAGCCACTTTAAAGATTTACAAGATATCTGACTTGACCTAAAAAGAATCCCTTATCATTACCTGTTGTTTTGTACCATTTGGTATACAACATCAGTAGCCAGAGAAAGCCTCTCCAATCAGGCTCGTACAAGTTGCTCTGTAATATCCCCATGAGCCCTGGGCTCAGTAACATAATCTTCTAGACACTCCTGGTGTTTCTGCCCCTGAGCTGCCCACTACTTCATTTTAAAGGCCACTTTAGACTCAGTTTAACGACATTACACAAACCACTACAGTGCTCTTTCAATTTTTTATAAAAAATAATACATCACATCATTTCACTTACGCTGACTGGAGCTGTTGCGCCTTGTGGTTTGAAAGGATTGTGAAGCATTGTCACTGACAAACAAACTTTCTCTGAGTTATCACACCTGTACGGTCCAATTCAATCCTACTATTATTTAGATTATCTTATTAGGATTCAAGTACAAATACATACGATCAAATATTGTGTTTACCCACATTTGAATAATTTTAGTAGTGATGTCTGCTCAACGCAAGTCATTCTTTATTACCTGGTCCTGTTTTTGTTTTTTTTCTTAAAGCTCACGTTGTTTGGTTTTTGCTTCACCTAATGGGATTGTGTTTTGCAGGACTACGCCGTGTCGACCGTGCCTGTGCTGGAAGGGCTGCACCTGAAGAGCTTCTGCAGTATGGGAGGACCAGGCCTTATTGTCATCGGCTCCAGTGAACCAGCACAGAAAGCCCTCAAAGTATGTAGTTTGTGTATGTGTGTGTTGTATATGCAGTAAAAGCATCATGCTATTGCTGTTCTTCCCCCAGATGTAGTCATGGAAACCACTGAATCAATGTAGTGGCATTGTTTGTATAACTATGACGCACATTGACGCAGCTGATTATTTTTTTTATTCTATGGCTGACTCTTGGCTCAATGCTGTTGGTATGAACAGCCCTTTCCTTTTTTTTCTCCCATTCTGCAAACTATTCAGCAAGAATAACACTACAAGACAGGACATCACACGTGTTGATTCAGAGCAGGCTCCCTAATTTACAGCTTGATTTCTGCTTCCCACTGCAAGCGCATTGAAACCACCTGTCACCTTAATCCCTCCTCATTAATTTATATTCTCGGCTAATCTGAGGGGATTGCCCCTGGCGCTAACGCTCTAGCTTCAATTACAAAGGTATTGTCCTCCCATTAAACAGCTTGAGCTCATTACTGCAGAAAAGGCGTCTGAATCGATTGAGCTCCGTTGCAACAATAGCCTTAAAAAAATAAACCTTGGGGATGCTGTAGGACGCGACATGAAGAAGAGGCAGTTCACACCCTATTAAAGACGGATGGGTCACTTTCACAAAGAGAGTAATAAATCTCAGACCATCCGTTTGATGCAATTAGCCCTAGAAATCCAACATCAACTGACTGGATGTGAGCTTTTGTGATGGCACTCATGACTGAAGTATATATACATACATGCTGTATATATCCAGTTACATAAGTATTAAGACACACAAGCACATGCACCCTTGGCCTTGACAGATCCTCACTGGCAGAGATTTTCACGTGCCTCCCAGTGTGATATCTCCCCCTACTGGCCCGGTCGTACACAAAGTTACTTTAAGTCAAGTAAGAGACAGTGTATCTCCGGGGCAATTAAAACCAGACCATCTGACAGCACATCCTAATGAGGCAAAGTGCTTGAGAGCAGCACAAGGTCAGGCCCGTTGGTTTTGTAAGCATGTTTGCATTGCTAAAATGTACACAAGAAGTCAAGAATGTATGTATAAACACATGCTAATTGATTTTATATTCCAGCATTGACTCATTAAGATTCCTGCCTGTTTGATCACCCCAGTAATTAGCTACTGGAGCGAGGAGTGGCCGTTAGCGAGACTTAATGACAGACTGCTTGCTTTCTAATTATGGCTTACGTCACCCTCTCTTGCAGCAATTAGCTCCTGTTTTAAAGGACTTTTAACGACCCTGGATTTGTAATTAGGTAATGTTCTCTTTGTGGGGGGAGTGAGATCTCATGAATGCTGTTTTAATGAATTCAAAGTGCTTGTTTTGGATGTTGGTGCAGCTCCTACGGCAATGAGGCGTCTTGTCTGTGTACCCGTGGACAAAGACACTTTGTACAAATTAAAGTTGGAGCCTGACTAATTCACTTTCTCTTTAGAGAGCTACTTTTTTTTTATTGCTATAGAATATTCACTGATAAGAGAGGATGATCTGACTGTTTGCAGTATGTGTTTAGAGTTCTGTTTATGTATATGTCACTGACATCTAGTTCATATGGTTGTTAATTCTTTACTCTGTTTTGCAGTGTGGCTCTGTTTTTTATCTAGGATATATTTAACAATAAGGCTCAGTACTCCAAATGTGTGTATATGTGTTGGCTAGGTGTAGTCTCCTCTCTGTGTTTAGCTCTCCCAAGGATGAGAATACATGTTGACCGGATGAGTTTCGTCATCCATCTGCCGCTGTCACTGCCAAGCTTCAGTCATGAAGTCATCATCTCGAAATACCGCCTCTGTCAGAGGCTGCAGCACCCACTCCCTGACACACTATTCCCTCCCTATAGCGGACTCGAGGGCAGCGCTCTGGCTCACCAGTCAGCCCTTTACTCAGCCCTGTTTGATTCATGAGGTCATTACTCTCTGCTGGTCAGGATTTGATCTCACCTCAAGGATGTTCACACGATTGAGTTTTATAGATAACGAGGTGACAACACGGTGAAGGTTGTATTGAGAATGAGTTGTGTTTGATGACCAAATCCTGATCACAAACATGCTCGTATACACAAACAAGTTACCAACATAAACATATTCTACATTTTTGATGAACTCCAGTGTTTAATGAACAAATTGATTAGTTATTTAATCGATTTGTTAGTTTTGATTATGTTTCATTGCCTATAATGTCAAAGCATGCATTCATGTAGTCCTTCAGCAGCAGTGTCAGAGAGCAGCTGATAACATATTTTATGTCACAGATTTAGGTCTCTGTACTGTTGCCTTGGTTCTTCCTGAGATAATAATCAAAGGCAGGCAAACTCAGTAACCTCTTTTAAATCCCTTTTTAAAACTCACTTTTATCCTGTGGCTTTTTGTTAACTGGTGGTATTTGTTGTAATCGTTTAAATTATTTTAAATGGTTTTATATAATATGTTTTGGATTAGTATTACATTGATTATTTTTTAATGTAAAGCACTTTGTGACTTTATTTTGAAAGGTGCTATAAAAAAAAATAAGGCCTCTGTTTAGGCACAATAGTGCTTTGTGCTAAATGCTAACATCTGCATGCTAATATACTCACAATGACATCGCTAACAAGGTGAAGTTTAGCAGGTATAATAGTTACCAGTGTTGGTTAAACTAGAAGAAGTTTTAGAAGGGGGCATGAATGTCTGTATACAGTTTCATCTATTCAGTAGTTGCTGAGATATTACAGTCTGGCCTAAATGGACCGACTGACCGGCAGACATCCCTAGAGTCACACTGCTGGCGTGGCAAAGAAAATTGAGTTTGGCAGCTTGTATTATATCAGGAAGAGGGCCATATATGGCATTTGAGCTCTTGGTTTCCTTGCCAATGATGTTATCAAGTCCCTGAGTCAGCTGCAGAGTCAGATATACATATACAGACAGCATCACAGATTACATTATAAGGAATATTCGCCTTGTTTATGCATAAGATAATAAGAAAAACCTGAGAAATGTGGATTGTCACAGGGTACTTTTCTGTTCTTTTCTTAATATTATCTGCCATATTCTGCATCCTCGCCTCCCCATCCCCTTTCTTCCCTCTTACTCATCTTCCACTGGATACTTTAAGGTGCAGCAATAAACACTCCCTACAGACCAATAATATTTCCAGAGTGAAATGTGTGTCAAGAAGCAATAACAAACATTTATTGTACATCAACAGGAAGCAATTTCAGTTTCATTTCCCCTCTGGAGTTGGAGAGGCTCAAGTAGGATTTGTCTTGTACGTGCTGCTGTTGTTCATCAGTGAAAAGAAGTATTGTAAAACTTTTAAAGGCTTCCTGGGACGGATTACTACAATGAGCATTATAAATATTCATACATGGCGGCCAAAGTACAGATTATGCTGATGACCACAGTGGACGGTGCATCAGCTCCAGTAAATTGTCAGTGTTTTTGTTAACTGGTCAAGATTGTCATCGCCCAAGGGGGATTTTATTACCTTCCAGTAAATATTTTGTTTTAGCAGTTCTGACTGAGCACATTCTGCTGCCCAGTTACCACTCTGTGTATTAACTGGACCTCAGCCACTGTCCAGAAGTAAGCTGCTGCTGATTTGCTATGGCTGTATAACTGGTCGAGGGCCAAGATGACTATGTAGGAGCCTTGGTTCTCCATCTTTCTTTCGCTCTTAAAACACTTAAAGAAGATACATAAATCTGAGGCATATTAATGAATGGAATTGATGTTAGCAAAAACTTCTGAAAGTCTAATCTAAGAAGTACTTGAAACATGAAATAACCAAGATAACCTCCCCTGGATTTTTAATTTCTCTAAATGCTAAGATTTGAATAAATTAAAACATCTTCAGTATTAAAATTACATGAGATAGTAATCTGGCCTTATATTGACCGGTTACACCCGCAATGAACAGAGAACCAATTGTTCCATCAGTCAGGTGAATTTTCTAAGGATTTAATTATATTTCATGGATCAAAACTTTACACGAAGCACGATGAAATTCTGCTGCAGGGCTTTTTCCTTACACCCTGAATAGTTTTTTTTTTTCTCCCTTTTTATTGAGAAAGTGAGATGTTTTAGAAACAGAGTGGGAAGCAGGAACAACTGTGATCTTTGGTGGAGTCAACGTTTATTCTCCCCTCTACCACTCTTAATCCCCCTGTGTGTGAGAGACCGTGTTGGCGGTCACGCACATGGACAGTGTTTTCATTTAGGGCTGCTGCAATCACCTAACACACCCACAAGTGACCTGGGAATGTGTCTGGTCTGGTTACACGCATACAGTCATATGCGCACACACACACACACACTGCTTGTACTCCACCCTGCAGACCTGCAATGTCAGCTATTGTGAAGTTAATCTAATTTATTTTGCATTGTCAGTCATTTGCTGGGACTGTTATATTTATGGCTATTTCATATGTAAACATATTTTTTAGGCTTTTCTCAGCTTGCTGTACTGGTGTAATGGATGATGATGATTCCTTTTATATCCTTTGTTTTTAACATTGTGCAAAACTTTCATTACTGTGTTTGCGTTTTGCATAGTGGTTCCCAGAGATCACTGCTTTATTTAACAATGAGTCCAGTCCTGTGAAAACTTTTTCCTTGGCTTTTTCTATTTAATGATTGGATTTACTGCTCATACTAACCGCACAATTGTTCTTCTATTTATTCTAATGAAGCACCGTGGCTGCTGCCAGAAACATAAAATGTGTCACTTCCTGTGTGCTGGATACATTTTTCCCAGGAAAGCCCTAACAGCACATTTATTATTGTGTTGCATTAGTTGGCAATACACATCTCCTTACATGACAATAACTCAAGAGTAACATGTTGCAGCAGACCAGCTGAGTGGGAATCGAAATGAAAAGATCTTCAGCCACAAGCTCATTGTGCTCACAAACCACACATTTTTCTCCCACTTTTGTAGTTGTGTCATCACATTCACACAGCAACTCCTCCAAACCTATATGTGCGTCAAGCAGACGTCATACATTTTGCTTCCAGTGTAGTCTCATGGGAAACATTTGCCGACTTTCGTGAGCAAATTCTGATCTCATTTTTTTTGTAATTTCAACGTTTGATTATTTGACTGCTGATCATTAGTAAACTTTAGTACGAACTCATCCTGCCCACGATTAAAGACGAGCAGCTGAAAAGCACAAAAAAATGAGGCAGAGGACATCTAAATCTGGTGAAAATCTCACTTCTCAAAATACCTTTTCTGAATGTTGATTTATTGGCTTTTTTTTACTCGCTTTTCACCTCCCCTCCCCTTCTCGTCTCTGAGGTATCCGTCCGCAGATGTTCTGCTCATAAACATTAAGAGGCACCTGCCTCTCTGGTCATAACATCCTCACCCCCCGACTTCCACTTGGCAACATGGGCGTCTTCTCAGCCTCTCTTCCCCCCACCGCCTGTCTCACCTTCAACTCCTTCAGATTACATAAATAACATGACATCTGCTGAGAAAGAATGTCTGTCTGCTCCTGCGTTCTCCATTAAGGCCCCCCAGGCCCCGAGAGTGGTTTGGCCAGCAGAAAGATGTGGTTCTGCCTTTGGTATTGTGGTCTTTCTTCTGACTCAAATTGTCTGATAGTCTGTTTTAACTGTTTTCTGTCTGTCTACCGGAAAGTTGTGTAGACTCCCACAGCCTGTTGTTTGTTTATCTAAATGTTTATTTCCTGTCTTGTCTCTTATCTGTATCTGTAGATCATGCAGCAAATGAGTGACCATCGCTATGACAAACTGACGGTACCTGATGACCTCGCTGCCAACTGCATCTACATGAACCTACCTAATAAGGGACATGTGCTTCTGCACTGCACAGCAGAGCAGTTTCCAGAGAGTGCAAAGGTAATGCTCAGCCTTTTTTCAAACCACACACAGTAACTCTGTGTCATGCACGCAATCTCACATACATTTACATTCCAGCGGTTACACCTTTGGGAGGAAGAAACACTGTCAGAAGAGTCAGGACTGGTTTAGTGGCTTAACTTTAAAGGGCATTTGCCTTTGTTGGTCTCCATCCTGTCCAGACCTCTGAGACAAACAACTGGCTGGAGAGGAAAACCCTGCAAGAAACTATGTGGCTGTTTTACACAGACCACAGCAGGTCAACCACAACCAACACTGTGTTTTTTGACAAAGGAACCTGCAGTTATATGTGAAGTGACCTATTGTGGAAATGACTCTGACTACAGAGTAGGAGCCAGAGACGTTTTGGTTCAGTCTCGCCACTCTCATCAACACTACCCTGATTGATAATCCCCAATGTATGTGTCCTGCCCAGCATTAAACAGACAGACAAAGTTAGCAGCAGCTAGCTAGTGAACATAGTGGAGGAGCTGAAGAGCTAGGTAGTTCCCTCAAGAGTTGTTTGAGACCAAACCAGAGGAAAAAGGAAAATGAATGTTGGACTTACATTCTTCAGGTGAACACCATCACATACCCAAATGAATGCTAATGTTGCTTCGTATCTGCAGGATGTGTAGTGTTTACAGCTTGTTGCGGTGCCCAAAAAATCAATAATGTATGTTTAAGTATCTTAAATTTCTTTATATACAAACTATAAAAAATATTTCATCTAATAATAAGCAAGAAAATTACATTATAACTACTTATTTGTAGTGTCAACTGTAAAATCACAAAAAAAGCATCCCCGACTACACTAATCCAGATGAAAGTAAAGTAACATTTTATTCAATAGAAAACTGTACTCTACACACGGTTGCCAAGTTGGCACTGTTTCAGAAACTCGTGAGAGAAACACCAAAACAAATCTATAAAGATGAGTCTAATTTTAAAGAAATATTGAAGAGTTGCCATGGGTTACCACTGTAGAGGTATCCTTACAGTGTTCTACGTTGAACTGTTAAGTGCTGTATGTTGGCTCGATGAACCTGGTTGAACTCATCTCCAACAGTGTCTCACAGCATACACTATGACTACATAAACATGTATAACCATAACCCTTCTTAAATTTCTTTGAGGCGTACAGTGACCTACTTGCGAACACCGTCAAAATGTGCCTTTCACTCTCAACGCTTGAATATTGTTTTCCACAGTAGCTCGCTGTGAATGACGTGTTATTGTCTCACTTTGTCTGTTGGGGTTTGGAAAGGCTGAGCTATAGCCGTGTTATTTTGATGATTTGGGGTCATTCCACATCACAACAAGTCAAAAGGATTCTTACAGGATCGAACCCAGCACCCTACAATCTGCAGAGACAGTGCTCAGACCTCAAAATGTACTCTGTGGTTAAAACCCCAACCTCCGACAGCTATTTTTAGAAGGAAGAATTCACAAAATTATGCGTCTTTGGACTTAAATCCATGGCGAGAGCTCAGTTTTTTCCAGGAAGATTAACTGAGGGAATTCAACTTGAGCATAATAAAATCTATTTGTGTAACTCATGCTTCCTGCTTTGGTCGCACCTTTTAACGGACCATTTGGAGCAATATTTGAAAAATGTATGTTTGCTCCATGATCCAGTTTCCTTTATAATGTTCAAACCCACCAGAAGTTGGCCTGGAACCCATATTTGGTCCAAACCTATGTTTAAGAAATGGTAGCTTGAGGGAAGTGGAAAAATAGAAAAAGAACAAGACATAACTCCAGCAGTAAGACATCAGGGATAGTTATTGGAGTTGTTCATGTCTTGTTGTACAGTAATCCTACAGTTGGTACATGTTTCCCAAGGGAACTTGTTGCTTGTTCCTCCAATAAGATGCAGAGATTTCTCAGCACAATCACAGAGACATTCTGCAA